TGACTCCTGGGCGGCCCCGACCGTCCAGTCAGCAAAGATCAAGGAAACATCAAGCTGTAGAGGCAAAAAGTACTGCTTATAGATAGAGGAAGAATCATTAATTTTCTCTTATATAACACTTGTTTACAGATACATTCACCCATTTTTCTTCTCCTGCCTTTAGGATATTGCAGACCCAGACCAATTTTATAACTTGAATTTGACCTGAAATCAATGTCACTGGCTCTAGAGTCCTCAGATCTAGTCCAGCAGATCCAGGAGTTGCTTTGACAGGCAGCTCTGCTCTGTCATCAATTTTCCACATACTAATTGGTTCTTTTTTTCTGGAGTATTGTAAACCGTGATCATTCGATTTAGAGGAGTGGTGCAATGGGTCTGTTATTCAATTGAAACACAGCCTGCAACAAATTTACTTTCCAGTTTGTCAAATCATGTTTTTCATTTAATTTTCTCAGCATTTCTTTTAACAGTTCATTCATTCTCTCAATCAGCCCAGCAGCTTGTGGATGATAAGGAATGTGATAAATCCATTCAACATGTTTTTCATCTGACCAGTCTTTCGCCTGTTTTCCAGTAAAATGGGTCCCATTATCTGTTCGTATCTGAAGGGGAACCCCATAAAATTATTTCATCATACTAAGACATTTTAAAGTAGATGTCTGATTTGCATATTTACAAGGATGAGTCACTAACACACCTGAATATGTATCTACAGCCGTACATACATATCTACACTCCTGTGACATGGCAAAGGGCCAGTGAAATCCATCTGCCAGATCTGATATGGTCCCTTTTCTCTATTTGTCCCTGCATATACTGTGGTGACCCTCTTTTCTAATGCTGACATGCCTCACATTACTGTATTGCAGTTTTATGTTATCAATCTTGTTCTACAACTAATCAAACAATTCTTCATACATAACCACTTCATGCAAAAAGTGTCAGCAATTAACTTTTATTTATTAAAAAGAAATCCTTCTTCTGGTCTTGGCCCCACTCAGAATATTTAGCTCATCAGTTTCTCCAAACTGAGGTTGTTCTAAAGCCTATGTGCAGCAGGTAAGATATTACTTGTTCATAACTTTTTCTACAGAACCCCTCTTGAAAAGAGCTGAACTTTTACTTTAAATGTGAAACAACTGCAAAACAAGATGGTGAATTTTTTCATCTCAGATATTTTTAGATACTTCGAGTTGTTTTAGATGCCGTCAAAACTTCAGCTGCAGATGAACCATTTATAAACAACATATGATGCACTTCCTTCAAAGCAGCCAGCTTAACACATCCCCTTTAAGTGCTCTGATGACATTTTTTTTTAGACATTTCAAATCCACCCTTTTCCCCTTCAACCGTCTTGGCTTTAGGCATTTTAATTCATCCTTTGTGGCCCTCAATGTCAATGTTTGGGTCAACATGTCAACATCAGGTGTTTTAATTTCTCCTTTGACCTTTGGCATTTTAACATCAATATCACCTTGAAGTTTGGGGCCTTTTAATTTAATGTCAAAATCTGGGCTCTCTAATTCTAGACCTTTGATGTTCAATGTTGACTATCTGCTTTCAGAAGGTTGATGTCAACTTCTGGACCTTCTACTTTTGGCCCTTTTAATCCAAATAATGGCTTCCAGCCCTCAGCTCTTCTGCTGACACACCATCCATCTCAGCTGGAGGCACTCCTGTCTGTATTAATGCCCTCCAGAAAGCAGAACGAGTAGGTTCCTGCATGTTTTTCTGGCCGTCCCTTCTCGGCCCACGACCCATGGGTTGACTAAATGTTTTTTTCACGGTTTTCAGCTCTGTGTTCCAATCTCCGAGTGCACCCAGTTCCAACACTCGGCTTCGAACATCAGTCCTCGAAAAAACATGTAGATGATAATTTACTACCCAACGCACAGCGAGCGCATTTCTTACACACAGCCGAACCAATCTCTGCTCGCACTCCCCTAGGGTCACCCAATGCCCCTGTAAATCAGACCAATCCGATACTCCAGGAAACATTTGTCGGGCTGCCTCTGCACAAGCTTCAAACGACGGTCTCGAGTGTTGCAAAGTTCTGACTCGATGCGCTGAATTCATTACCTGACCTCCACCTTTATCCAACAGCCTAGATACTCGAGCATCTGTGGGTTGTGCAGTCTGTTGTTTATATATTTTAGACAAGTAAACAACCTCCTTGTCTCCCCAGATGTTACTGTCCCAACTCGACGGATCCCATCTGTCATCTATTGTGGCAACAAAAGCTCGTACCTGTTTAGATAACACACTGCGCCTCTTTCTCTTGAATTTTTCTCGCTTCAACCGGGACACCTGCTCCACCGCCCCCTCAGCCACCCTGCTCATTCTCCCAAACTGAGCACCGAACAACTGAATGTGCCGTTCATTCAACAAGCAGGCGGTCCTCACATTCTTGTTTGCTCCGTTGAACCTGTGATTGCATTTTCTGACTTTCCTCATGCAGTTTTTTCCCCAGGTTGCCGCACACATCCACATACAACGCTGAAGCCCTGTCACTGGTGCCTTCTTTCTGACCTCTATTGCCTGCAAAGCGGTCAAAACATCACCCAGACTATCTGCTTTCAGAGAATTGTTCTAACAACTGGGATGGGACTTCTTCCCACCTCTCAAACACAACACTAACAACTGGGATGGGACTTCTTCCCATCCTGGTACAACTTTTTCTCTGTTCCAGTCACGCCTCCTCAGGCGTCTGGATCAACTTTTTTTCCGTTCAGCTCACGCCTCCTCAGGCGTCTGCTTGAACTTTTTCTCAACTTTAATCAACTTTAATCTCTTTTTCCTTTTTCATTGCTCAGCCTTCCCGCTATCCTGTTCGTGACGCCAGAAAAGTTCTATGAAATTATCTTTAACAAGATAGATACAGGTTAGGGGAAAGGTCGGAGCAATGAATGAAAACTCTCAAAAGAAACTCTCAGGCTGTTTTCTGCTAGAATAATAAGTGTCATTTATTAAACCGCCACAGATACAGCAAAGCAACGTACATTCAGTACAAATCAAGCATTGATGTAGAAACCCCTCACCGTGACACCAGACCGAGGAAGCCGTTTTCAGTCCGAGTGAGAATGTGACATCAATTCAGCTGGGCATCGGATCCAGAATCCAGAGCAGACTTCAACTCTAATTCTGGGTGTTACACTTTTTATACTCCCCCTCTGACTGGGTGACGTGCGGGCAGAGCAAACATGTTTTCCATCATCAAGGCAGTTTGTACAGCAGAGCGATGGCTCATAAAAACATGTCTTTCAAACCCAAGGTCGTGGTTGGATGAAAGACCTGTCTACATCAAACTCCGTGTCACTGTAACCGCAAGATGGGCCAGATCTTGCGGCAAGAGCACCCCCGGAGGCTTATTTTCATTCTTCCAAAACACATCTGCAGTACAGGCCTGATTTGCACAGATAAGCTGCATATAAAATGAGTATAAAATAAGTATAAATTGTCATAAAAGCATCAAAATAATCATTCCTATATCACGTTGTCCCCCTGTAAATCATTAATTAAAGCAAAGCATAAAACGTAAAAATCTGGACTATCATTTCACCACCTCGTGTTCATGGATTTAAGAAGCTTGGTTCAATTCTAACAAAATAGGGAGATTTTAAAAGTTTTTTTTAGCTTGGAATATTTAAACAACATCCTGGAATCTTATCCCTAGATTCTAAAAAGAACCAGATCAGTAAGAATAGCCATTCTACAACGAAGGTGGGCGGCCGTGAATGTGAGTTTTCCTGTGGACGACAATCCAACCCTGACTGCTAGGTTGGGTGAGTCACGGGGTGAGATAAGGGTGTGGCTCACAGATTGAGGTTGTTAACAAATCTGGGTAAGTCACCTTCAACACAGCCATAAGTGGAACTAACCTAAGGTCACTCTGGGTAATACTCAAGTGTTAGATTTAGTTTGTAATACCCCTTAGAGGAGAGGCTGCGGTGGGGTTTAGCCATGACTCAGGTGGTAACTCCACTGGGTAGATAGAGATTGTGTAAAATACTTTCACACAGTGCACCTATTTCGATGAAAAGTTGGTTAGCCGTTAGCCACAGTGTTACTATCTCATTCCTCACGTTGTAGTTGGCTACAAACGATGAAATGGATTTTCTGAATGTGAGCCCGGTCTTATTACTCTGGGTTCATGAGACACGCCTCCGTTCAGGAAATCTGTTCCATAGTTGGAAGCCAACATGCATCACGGATCGGAAATCTCTGCAGGTTGGATCGGAAATATCAGATACGCAAATTATGCTGGTATCGGAGGCCGATACTGGATCTGTCCCATCCCTAATCGCAATATTATCGCAAATGCAATTAATTGTTCAGCACTAGTCGCCAGACCTGAAGGCGGTATCCCTGGCTTTCAGCAGGGTATGGACCTCTGCTTTCAGCCAGGGTTTCTGGTTTGGCTAACATGTCACAAGTCCTGGTGGTGGTAACATCTTCAACACACTTGCTGATGTATCTGAGAACAGCAGATTCCTCCATATCCAGTTCTCTCTCATTTACAGTGACCACCCTGAAGATCTGCCAGTCTGTGCTTGCAAAACAGTCCTTCAGTAGGTTCGCTATCGTTGTGCCACACGTTGATGATCCTCTGTGTGGGTCTGGAATGTGCCAGCGGGGGAAGGTAGACAGGGGCCATAAAGATGAAGATATGGTCAGAGAGGCCGAGGTGGGGGCGGGGTACGGTTTTTTTATGTGTCTTGTATGTTTGTATAAACACGGTCTAGTGTGTTATTTCCCAGTGTTGGTATGGTGACATGCTGATAAAATCTTGGCAGTGTCTTTCAGGTTTACGTGATTAAAATCACCAACCATCACTTCGAAAGCCTTAAGTACAAAAAGAAAAATCTCACTGAATTATAATTTTGTGCAAACCAGTCTGCTGCCAGATTAGTTGAAGATATATTTTTAGGTTGGATAGTTTTGTTCCATTGCAAATGGTGGTGAAAAACATTAATACAATTTTTTTCTTTTTTTTTTTGCAGGTGGTGTGTCACATCTATCGAGCCATTGGATCCAGACACCTCCCACTCGGTAACATCCATCTGGTCCACCTGGACTCCCACCCTGACCTGCTTATTTCTGTGAACATGTGTGCAGACACAGTGTTCAAAAAGGAGAAACTCTTCAGGTATGTTTTGTGTCTGGGTCAGAGAAGTCTGACAGGTAATGAAGCAGAGCATTAAGACATAGCTTTATTAAAGTATTGGAATTCCTTGAAAGATTCACTGAGTCAATTCACTCAGTCAATTCAGAAGCAATTATTTTTTCATTCAACCTTTATTTAAACAGATAAATCACATTGAGCCTCGAAGACTCATTTACAAGTGAGACCTGTTTGGACAAACAAAAAACAGTGGTTAACTGGACACGTTGGAGGCGAAAAAAATTCCTATCAGACTGTTTTTTTTTTCCCTACCTGAAAAAAACAAAACCCCTCTAATATTAAAAAAACCACCTCGCACAAACAAGCACATAGTGACATAGACATTCTGCGGGGGGGTCAGCATGTTCATAAATGTTCTCTCTCGAAGTCACTGTAAGAATTCTGATAAGGATGGAAAATCAGTCAATGTCCTCCGGTGAGATCCATAAACATTCTCGAGGTATGTCGAGGAATGGCCAAGAATAACATCTATGAGAATCCAAGAGTCCTGAAATGATGACACAAAGTTTATTCAGCTGGTTCCATCTGGTTATCAGTTGGAAATTCCTCAGGGAGGGGGTGGTTAGCGTCAGATCACATGTACTCCAGGCAAATTCAGATAAGGTGGCCTTCAAGGCCAGCCAAGGGGAGCCAACTTAGATAAACACACAGTTGTTCTGGGGACAGGCAGAACTTAATGACATTTACCTTTAGTCTGTGTTGGTCGACTCGGTTCCGAAATGTTCAAAATACATGGCCACACCGATGGAACGTGACTGAGTAAAATCCCCAAGATCTGATCCATTCAGCCCAAAGCATTTGAGTCCGGGTCCTCGAGACACGAACCAAGCCATCATAAAGGCAAGCAGGGTCCAAATTTGCTGCCATCGACTTCTTTCATTGTAGAAAAAAACAGCAACCAGCAAATCCAAAAAGCGGGAACCAGTTATCGTAAATCCAATTAAATATGCGTCCTTAAAGTCCACAGATGGCAGCAGAGATAGACACATCATCAAATCTTCCAGTTGATGAGATATCCAGCTGCGTGCCAACAGGACAATTTGACTTGCCTAAAGTCTGTCTTCTCTTTGAAGAAATGTTGTAAATTGAGTTGAGGGACCAACTGATCAAAACAAGTCCATAATTATGGTTCGGAGGATATGCAAGAGAGGTTCACAAGCAGTTTCACAGACAGACAGAGCGCTAAGCAAAGCAGAGAGGGAGAGAGAGAAACATCTGATCTTGGCGAGAGCAAGTGGTGAAGAGTTATATGCTGTTGGACTACCACGGCTGGATACTGTGCGTCTTCTGCTAAGGAAAGCAGGACGTATTGGCTACGATATACATCTCTTCCTGCTGCGACAAGGATCCTTGAACCTAACTGGTCTCACGCCATTTTTTTTTTCATTCAACTTTTATTTAGACAAGTTAATCCCATTGAGCCTCAAGGACTCATTTACAAGAGAGATCTGATTTCAACAAAGAATCATGACAACAATGGACAACAATAGACAATTATAAAAAGGCATATATATATCTATATATATATGTATATATATATATGTATATATATAAATAGATATATATATACAAATTAAAATAAGATGGCAAAAACTGCTATATTATAAGACAAATGTAGAAAACTAAAAACAGGAACATGTCTGCATTGGTCCCTGCCAGGAGTCCAACAGATTCATAAAGCCACTTAGAGAGGTCAAAGTAGAGAGCTTCAGATCTTTTTGCAAGTTATTCAAGGAAACTGAAGCAGAGTAGAAGGCCCTTTTGCCAAGTTCAGTCCGCACTGAGGGAACACTGCAGGTCATAAAGTCCTGAGAGTGCACACTGTAGCTGCACTCACACAGAGACATGTAAGGGGAGATGTATGAAGGCAGTAGACCAAGAAGTGATTTAAAGATGAAAATGTACCAGTGGGAGAGTCTACGTGAAGTAAATGATGTCCAGTTAACCAGTGAATACAGGGTGCAGTGGTGGGTATGATAATCACAGCCAGTTATGAATCCTAATGCACCATGATAGACAGCATCCAACATCTGTAGGGCTCTTGTAGGAGCGTTCATGTAAATAATGTCACCATAATCAATGGAGGGAAGGAAAGTCACAGTTACAAGGTGTTTCCTAGCATTCAGAGTTAGACAGGATCTGTTTCTGAAAAAGAAACCCAGTTTAAGGTCATTGACCAGTTCCTTCCAAGTAGTTCTAGGTTGATTCCTCACCTTTCTTAGGATCATTGATATGCCACGAGTTGAGATCTTGCATGGAGCCCCAGTCCAAAGGAGATTGACAGTCATGTTTAGCTTCTTCCATTTTCTAATAATTGCTCTAACTGTTGATCTTCTTTCACCAAGCTGCTTGGTAATTGCCTCGTAGCCCTTTCCAGCCTTGTGGAGGTCTACATTTTTGACCAGATTTAACTTTTTTAGATTTTTCTACCTGGATTATTGAGCATGCATCAGGATATTTTGAAATACATAAGTAAACTAAATGTATGCGCTTACAGATAGAACAAATGTATCTAAACCAACCAATAAACATTTTATTGCAAACTAAAGTGTTGTTTGGATGAGAAATAAATGGTGCATGCAAGAGTTACCGACTTTAGAGTGTGGCCATGGGTTTGGCCATCAGACTTGACTTTCAGCGTAAATAATCAATTCAGCTGTTTGTAGTCACCGTCAGAGAATGTAATGGCGAGACTGTAAAAGGCAGAACTACAAATTACGAGTTCTCTCTGACCCAAACTGTGGCTCCGGCCTTGGAAGCAGACTATTTCAATTCCTCCTGGGATGTTATGAAAACAAAGACGCTCTGTCTGTCTCCTCACCCCTCTCTTCCCCAAGGCAGTGGACATGTGACAGAACCTTAACCGAGCTGATTATAACAAACACCTCTTATCTGGACAATGGCTGAGGGGGGTTCTGGACTATGCTCCGACTTTCTCTTAAAACTCATTGCTTTCACCTGCCTCACATGTATTATGCCTATTTATATTGCTTTGCTGTGGTAGAATTTTTTGGTGCCTCAAACCGTGCCCTGTCTAAGACATGGTTTGAGATCCTTTTTTTTTCATACCTTCTCTCCTCATGTTTTCTTCCCCATTTCTCATCTAAGCAAAAGTATTCTGAAAAGAATAAGAGACTGCGCTCCCGTAGCAGTAGCTACGTGCACTCCGCCCATCTTTGGACGATTGTAGAACATAATTTTGTTGTATTTCGGTACAATGACAATAAAGCTTATTCTGATAGCAAAAGGTCTTATGGTCCAGCAGTCAAAATAAAACATTCCTGCTTTCAAGCAGTCATAACACTCTTGGGTTCACAAGTATGTCCTTCACAATTTGCACAAATCAATAACATTATACAATTTTTCATTCACCGATTTATTGGCAGTCTGGCGCTAAAAGACTTGTTAAGAAATGTTATTGTTAAATGATTGTCAAGACATTCACCAAGACCTTGACAAAACTCTTTGTTTTTTCAATGTTCAATATACTATAACCCACTCAAGCTGGCATTTGTTGTCCAATTGTCAAATGTCTATGACAGGTCATCTTGTTTGTATGGCCTCACGTCAAATTACCATTCTATCTTTGATCATTTCTGTTTCCAGTGAGTTGAGTATAGAAAACTGGATAATGCCCATGGTATACGCTGGTCATGTGTCCCGCGTGGCTTGGCTACATCCTTATTGGTCCCAGCAAATCCAAGAGGGAGAGCACAGGATGGACGTAGGCAAAGAGACTTCTACCTCAACCATCAGGTAGGACAACGTTGGACATGTTGTAATCTAAAGATTCCTGTAAAATTAATAGACTGATTTAAAATATCAGGTTTTAATTGGGAAACATATGACACTTTTATACAACAGTTCTGTAGAATAACATCAAACACCAGTCAGTCTTAAAGCTGTCTCTGTCTGATTTTAAATCACTAATCGAGCCAGTCATATCCCAGCCGGGGGGACTTTCTGGGTTGTGACGAGACACTTGTGACATCATGAGCACCGCAGAACAGCCGCACTAATGAGAGCTCCATGCTGACTCGCTTTTTTAAAAAAGTATTTGTTTTTTATTACCTTTTCTATCTGCACTGCACTCCCATTCTTCAAGTATAATCGTGACTAGGGCATTAATAGAGTACTCGAGTAATTTACACATCGATTGCTAGGACATCTATCGATGTTAAAAAAGTAAAGTCGGGTATCCGTAATGACGTCATATTATGTGACAACGTGTGACCGTAGGGGGCGGTGTTGCACTGTTGCAGGTCACAGAGTATGGTGCAACACCGGGCCCAATCCACCAGAACCAGTTTTGGTTTAAGTTTCGTTTTTGACGTGCTGCGTTTCTTCACGTTTGCAGTTTAATAATAATAACTAATAGTTTAGTTTTTCCTGTGACTTATTTGCAGTATGATAAATGGTAGGAGCATATTGCACAATGTTTTGTTGGTCTTTTTTTTGGGTAAATAATTACCTTTTTTTGCGGTTTTATTTATTTATTTATTTTTGTATCTTTAGATCTATGACGTCATCAAATACTCGAGTTCTACTCGGGTTTTATTATGTTAATGTCGAGTTTAAAAATTATATACTCGTTCAACCCCTAATCGTGACACACATTTCGAGTTGCGATCGTCCGCGAGTAACGAGCTTAAGCCAACTTTTGGGGACTCGGCGGCAGACATTTCCCCCAGGTTTGTTTACCTGGGCGCCATAAAAGGAAAACGAGGGGGGGAAGCGAGCCGGTGTTTCGTGCAGGACTCGCCAGGGCAAACCCCCCTCTCCCCTCAGTCCTGCTCTCAAACGTTCAGTCTCTGAGAAATGAACTGGATGATCTGTGTGCACAGGGTTAGGGTCGGACTTTAATAGTTAGCAGCTCCAAGACTGGTGTGCAGTGAGTAGTTAAAGTACCTGCATCTGTTGCCTACAAAGAGTTACCCATAAAGCACATGCCCCTTCTGCAAGACTTTCCTGAGACTGCCGTTCTGTCGAGCCGGTAGATAGAGAAGTTGTCCGCAATTGAGAATTGGAATTGAGATAAGTCCGCCGTCAAGGACACAGTTTGGGTCAGGCAGAACTCATGAATTGCTGGTTCTGCCTTTTAAAGTCTCACTGGTACATTTCTCTGATGGTGACTCCAAACAGCCAAATTGATTCCTTACGCTGAAAGTTGAGCTCACAGCTTTCTCCAAGATTATTCCCACCGTTCATGGTTGCTGCCAAAAAGTTCACAGTCCTGATAACCGCCTTCTCCAGCCCTCCGATGCAGCTCCACATAATTCAGTCTGAGCGCTGCCAAGCTTCGACGCATCTACATGAATTTGTAGACAATCCAGATTTCACCAGCCAAACAGCAGAATCTAGTTATCATAAATCCAGTTTGTTTCCATCGAGGGTCCTCCTTACCCTGACCCCTGTCAGGAGAAGTTGATCAATCTTCAATCTTGTTGAGAGATCAGCTGATCAAAATCCTTCGAATTAGGAAGGTGTGCAGAAAAAAAGAGGCTCTTTAAGGGTTCACAAGATGAAAGAGTGCAAAGCAGGGAAGCGGGGGGACGTTGCGCAGGAGGACATGTCTGTCTTCACCGAAGCACAGAGAGAAAATTTATAAAGCACTTAAAACAGCAGCAAGGCCAACCAAAGTGCTGTACAGGAAAAAACAAGCAGAAGACACCGGATAAAAACGTAGATCCATATGGAAAAAGAAAACTAAAAGGCTAATATTGTAGAGTACAGACAGGATTAAAAACAAATCACACTGTCAAAACCAGAGAATAAAAGTGGGTTTTTAAGCAAACCTTAAAAACAGTGAGAATGGGAGCCTGCCTGACATACTGTATAATAATAGCAACTCGTTCTACATGTGCCAATTCTTTTTCAACTTGGCTCTTCACTTGGGCATGCGACGCTGGCATGCGTTTGTGAAATGCTGCCGGGACAAAATTTTATATCTGAGCTCTAACGTATGAATCGAGTCCTGAAATCCTTCCCCCTCCACTATATTGTACGAACATAAGCCCTTACAGATAAAACGGGTTATTGATGCCATTATATCCTTAGCTCAAGATTAGGGCTGGGTGATATCTCGATATTTTTAAAATATCAATATAATTTTATTCACAATATAAATTGACATATCGATATAAACTAAATAGTTCTGCTTGAAAATCCGCCGTCTCGGCTGCCTTCTTTCTGGACACATGGTCCCCTCCTCTCCCTCATTACCCCAGCCCCTACCTGCGCACTCTCCCCCCGCTTCCTGCTTCTCTCCAGGTGGAGCAGCACGTAGCAGCCACAGTTGGTGAAAAAATGGAGAGAGAGCATGTTGCAGAACTGGTGAACATGAAAAAAATAATGGCTCTGTTATTTGTAGATGTGCAGCAGAAAAAGTGGCTAACAAGACGGCTGTTAGCTGCCAAGGATAGTCTCTTTAGTGATATGATAAGCTGCTGTTTTATTAATGCGGTGCTACCTCCTCTCACTGTAAGACTTGAAAATCTGTGTACAGTGTACAGTAGTTCATTTCCTGCCCGTCTGCGCAGCCCACTTCATGCAGCCCCTCGCCCCCCTTCTCCCTCGCTGAATATAAACAGCCCCCTCACTGCTCCAGTTCACACACGCTTACTAAAAGGGTGCATTCACACCAGCCCTGTTTAGTCCGCTTTAATCAAACTCTAGCTCGTTTTCCTAGAAAGTCCGGTTTGTTTGGGGAGGTGTGAATGCACCATCGAACTCTGTCACGGAACAAAAAGGCGAACTCTGGCCCGAGCTAAAACCTAGGTCTCGGTCCGGTAGAAGAGAACTCCAGCGCGTTTCCAGTACGGTGTGAATGTAAACAGACCGGGCCCTGCTCCACAAGCAGGAAGTGGAGTACAGCGCAGAGCAAACAAACACACATTTCTCTGACCTTATATGGAGCCGTCAGCTGCCTTGTGTGAAAACAATATTCTCCATGTTCTTCTGTCTCATCTTCTGCTCATGCTGAGTCCATTGTTGAAAAATGACAAAATATAACTCCTAAAACTGCTAAAACTTCATGCCACTTCATTTTATTTTTATTTACAGAAGAAGAAGACGTGACTTCAGAGGTTTTTGTGTTGTTTCTTTCAGTAGTTCTTGGTGCAGCGCCCCCACAGGCGAGGGGAGGATAGGTTGGTTCAACAGGTTGACTCGACTGCACAGTGCAGTGTGAATGCAAACGCACCAGCTCAAATGTAACAAAATGTCATGAATATTGGTCCCCAACCGAACCGAGTCTACTGGACTATCAGGTGTGAATGCACCCTAAAGTCCCTTATCTACAGGTCTAGTTCTTGTAAGACCCTATTGGGCCTTATTTAGGCCGGTTCCTTTGGGACCGGTTTATTTCTGTCTCCACAGTTCCCATAGTTCACCTTTAGTGGACGGATCATTAATATCAACGCGTCTTACCAGCTGGTGGCGCTAGTGCTACGTTAAGCTCTTTACTAATCACCACTAACGCGTATTAGAAGAAGAGCTGGAAAAGAACACACAACCAAAATGGATGATCTCGTTTCTGTTTTGAACATTCTG